TTCATACGTTGTTTATCTGTTGTATCCCAACGAACATATGAATGAGTTAATAATAATGAACACATATCAATAGAACCTGTTCTAACAGCTATTAGAAATATTGTACGATTATTTCTTTTTGTTACTTGATCAAATATTTTTACTGATTGATCATTAATAGCTAGTAATAAATACTTAACAATTGATAGTTGATTTTTGGATACAGCAATCATTAGTACATTCATATCATTATTATCAAGACTTGTAATATCAGCACCAGATGTAATTAATTCATTGACGATATCAAGATTTGTTGTTACAGATAAAGCTGTTTGTCCATGTTTATCTTTTATTTCTAATAGAGATGACTGAGTAAGAGAAAGTAATTTATTAACCATAGGAAACCGATTTGAAGCACTAGCTATATGAAGTGGTGATTGATCGTGTGAATTTAATATTAATGGATCAGCTTCATGATTATAAAGAAGGTCGAGCATAGACGGATCACAAAATTTTGCTAGCAAAAAAATAATAAAAATATTAATAGAATTTTCTCTATTGAAGTTATCTTCTTTAATTTAACAAATATCTTATTTATTCAACATGATCAAAAAATAACCATGTGATGAACACCGGACAAAAACTGGCGGTTAACCGCGGTTTTACCGGTCCGGTTCTCGGCTTCTTGACATAGAAAAACCGCGGTATTTTTCTGTTAACCGGTTTTTTTTTGATGGCGAACCGCGATAAACCGCGGTTTACCGCTAAAACTGATCCGGTTTTTGTGACATAGGTAGTGTTCAAAGTTAATCATCGGTTAAATTCTTATATCCATTGTATTATTAGAATTTTAGGAAGATAATTTCTTTCTAAATATCATCTTGATTTACTTGGTTGTATGTTCAATATTAGTTACCTGCTATATGTAAAGGAGTTCCAAATGGTTCTATTTGTTCATTAACTATAGTTCTTAAAACATCACTATTAAATTCATTCAGAATGTATTCAACTGATTCAATATTTCCTTGTTGTACTGCTAAATGCAAACATGTTGCTTGTGTATTTGTTTTCATTTGAATGCGTTGTTGAAACTTTATTTCGTCTTTTGATTTAATTAATTTTATAATATCTAAATGTCCTTTAGCACATGCGTAATGCAATGGTGTCCATCTTTCAGCATCAAAAACATCGATTTGTGCATTGTGTGTAATTAAATATTCGACAATTGATAAATAACCTTCTTTACATGCTAAATGTAATGGAAGTATTCCTTGACGATCTGGTAACTAAATCAAATAAATATTTGAATATTTATAAATTGTAATTTTTTTTTGTTTTCAAAACTTACTTCAATATTCGCCATTGATGTTATTAATTGTTTAACACCAGCAAGATTATTACGAGCTATAGCATAATGAAGTGGTGTAAGAAGATATTTATCACGTGCATTAATATTTCCATTAACTTTAGTAAATAAATAAATTAATGGATGATCACTTGAAAGAATTTGTTCTGTATATTCTTTTTTCCAAGCATCGGCTGCTTGAATCTGTATGATTAAAAGCTATGTTTTTGCAAAACACTATAAATTCATAAAATACCTTGTCGCCAAAATAATGACTAATATCAAATTGTTTTTCTGACGTTGTATTATTTATATTTAAATTATTTGATGAACGAAATGCTGAATGTATTGGTGTTCGATCATGTGCATCCTTAATATTAACACCTAATCTATTCAAATAGAATATCTTTATATTTAATATCGTTATAATCACTTTTTTCGATTTACTTAAAATCAATATTCGATAAAAGAATAAGACAAATATCCAATCGTTGATAACGAGCAGCATGATGTAATGGTGAAAGACCTGTTTCTAGATCAATTCGATCAACTATTTCAGATGCATGTTTACCACATGCTAATGTTTGTTTACTGTATTCAACAAAGTCAGCTAAAGTAATAATAGCACCCTCACGACATATCTATAAGAAAAATATAACATTGGAAAATAATAAAATATTATAAATTCTTACTTGACAAAGCTCACTAGTAGTCCATTCTAAATTTTCTTGACGAGTCGATCGAATTCGTTTGTCTCCGTCAATTTGATTATCTGTTACTGGATTCAGCTCAGTGATTATTACATCATTTCCATGTGCCGATAAATTCGACAACAGCTGTGGTTGATTTGCATATTCGTCCATTTGTTTGTCATCGGATAAAAAAAAACTGATCACTCAGTTTTTTTTTCTTTTTCTTTCTTTTAGAGTCTCTTCGTACAAAAGGTGAAACTGCATCGTGTTCTTTTTTCTGTCGTGGCCACATTCTTTTTTTTTTCTGGATGGAAATATACAAAATAAAAACACATGTACTTTATAGGAAGAAGAAACACAGTCATTCTTTTGTACTGATGTGCTCATCAAAGACGGTAAATGTGTAACAAAAAAAAAAGAAGAAAAAAGAAAAGAAAAAAAAAAGAAAAGAAAAGGTCTCGATTTTCTTTTTGTATTTCACTTATCGGTATTGACGATGTTAATTTATAATGAATTTATGTTCAAGGACAATCTAGCATGTATTTGAAAAATATCAATCTTAAATTGAATATAGAAATAAATACATATGTAGTTTTCGGAAAAAAAAAGAAAATATGATTTCATCATGAAGTATTCTGTACCTAGAACGCATCAGGTTGGTTCCAGACCTTGTTGAATTCGCATCTGACAATTTTCGATCTGATGAGTTCTAACCGTATGAGAAATGTGTAGACTCACTAGTCGCCGATTACAAGAAACCAGAAAAAAGTATCTAATATCTTCGGGACATGTAGCCAATTGTGATTAGAAAATTCCATTGAAAATATCAATTTGTGATTTGGCCAGGTTCGGATCCGGGTCAGAGTTCGACAATTTTGGGTCCGACAAGTTCTATTCGTATCTCATATCGACTATTTGAGGTATCGATAAGATAGTAGGTTATCTGAGGAGAATATAAGATAGTACTATATTTTGTTTGCAATACAAAAATGAAGCATTGTAATATAAATACATATCTCTAATATTATCATTGGACGAATTGAAAAACTAAAGAAGTATGAAGGTTCTTAACTGACTAAGTCTTAGAATTTATTGACATTGCTTGATATTATAGTTTTTAATCTATTGAATATCAATGGTAAATGACTCTTAAAAAGCTTAAAGTATTCAAAGAGTATTATATATAAAATGGTATTAACATTATCATAAATTTTATCACTATTAATCGATTGATTTATTTTAATGATGAGCTATGTCAATGTAAAGAAAAAGACTAAGAACAGAATTTGCATTGTATTAAATCGTTGAAAATCAATAAAAAAAGATAAGAAGTTATGTATAAAGAAAGTAGACAGAATTTCTAAATCTCAATGCATTTATTAGTTTTTTTCAAGGACTTCTCTTCAAACAAACGGTAATTAACATTTATTTGAAGTATTTTTCAATAGTATTTGTTTTTTCAAAAACTTTTCAACTAAAACAATAGAATTTTTTCAAAAATTTGGCATTCTAATAATAGAAAAATAGTTGTTGTTCTTGTATGTAACTAGTCAAAAGCAAAAAAACATCGTCGTAATTTAATTTCATCGCTACAAGGTCTTTGTAATTTGATCATTATATGAAACGAAACAAAAACGTAGAAAGTGCAGTAAAACTAGTAATAGAATGAAACGAATCAAAAGTTTCTTAGGATTAGTAGTTATTATTATATGTCTGGCTCGTCAATATGAAACAATAGAAAATAAAACAAACAATGAAATAATATTAAAACGAATTCGTCGAATCATACGAGGTCATCTAGCAAAACCAGGACAAGTAAATTCAATAGATATTTTCAATCGATTGTTAACAGTATGTTTGATTTCTATATGTTTTAGTTTCCATATCAAGTATCGATCAATAATAATGGAGATCATTTTTGTGGTGGAGCTTTAATTCATGAAAAATGGATATTAAGTGCAGCACATTGTCTTAAATAGTCAGTGTCTTTGTTCTTTTTTTTTTAAAAAACTTTGATTGATTTCATAAAAAAGAAACGTATATTTAGTTTTACATCAATTCAAAACTTTTATGCTGTTATGGGTGTTACCTATTTGGATCGAGCTGATCCAAAATATGTACAAATCTCACGTATTGATGCATATTTTCAATTTCCACGATATGATCCTTGGTAATAATAAAATAAAAATTTCATAATAACTCATATTTCGAGTTTTTTTTTTCTTTCTTTGTATCATTGTTTTTTCTATGGAAATATTTAGGGGTGATCCAAAAGATGGTAATATAACTCGAAATGATCATGATTTAGTTCTCTTAAAATTACAAAATCGTGCTCTATTAACTAATCGTGTTAAACCTATTCAATTACCTAATCCAAAGAATGAGAAGATAACTCTCGAAAATATGGAACAATGCATTGTATCAGGTTTTGGTACTGTCGAAGCTACACGTCAAAGTTATATACTCAAGTATCTAACAGTACCTATTGTTGAACGGAATCAATGGTATTTGGATTATAATGATTTTCTTTTCTTTTTTTATTCTTATTTCATTATTGAATATTTTCTTTAGTGCACGAGGTCATCGACCAAGACGTATTAAAGACTTTCATATATGTGCTGGCTATTGGCATGGTGGTAGTGATGCTTGTAATGGAGATTCAGGTGGTCCATTAGTTTGTTATTCGAATCAAGGTCCTATATTAATAGGTATTGTATCATGGGGAGTAGAATGTGCTCGTCATGGTACCTATGGAGTTTATACACGTGTATCACGTTATCTTAGATGGATTAATCAAACAATTGAACGATATAGTTAAGAAATAAAATAAAAACAAATTCTATTGACTGAAAAAAAAAACATCTTACAAAATATCTCATGAATCCATAAATTTTACACCCAATATTAAAAAAAACATATATGTGTATGATAATCTCTATTTTAACGCTTTTTTTTGTACAAAAAAGAATGAATCACTCAAATATTTATACATCTACTGGTAATGTCCTTGGTTTACGTGAAAATTTTCTTGTATCATGATTTGAATGAGAATATCCTTTTGTTTTATTTGTTTGTCTTGATGGATTTAATGGTGTTGTTTGTTCAGTTCTTATAGAAGATGTTGAAGATTTATTTTTAATATATGTTCTAATTATACATATAAGAACGACTATTATCATACATGTCAATGTCGAACTGCAGACTATAATGATTGCTCTAAAACGTTTATTTAAAAATCGATTGTAACTATGTTTAAAATCCTCTATGTGATTTTGATGTACATGTGTAGCATTTTTATTTATTCGTAAAGCATTGATTTTCAATCGATTTGTTTTATTACGATAAGCAGCAAATCGAGAAGCAGCAAGACGCATTTGAACGATTTCATAAATTGTTCTTGATGGAACAATTGTTCGATTAGAATAAATTTTTTTAATATCAATCGATAGTGAACATGTAATGAACAAACATAGAAGAAGTATATTATAGAAATGCAACATGATACCTACAATAGAAGATAACCTTCATTTTTTTTTCTTCTCTTTTACTTATACATAACCTATGTGTATTTGTCCCAAACAAATGAATACAACTTACCAGTGCAAGAGACAGATTGCAAATGGCAAATCAATCTGTTTAAGTGTTTTATTATACGTATATAAGTTGTCTTATTCGTTTCGTTGTTCTAGAAGAGCTATCAATATAGAAATAACGATTAAAGAGGAAGAAAAAAACAGAAATTTTGAATAATAATAGTAAACGCTCATCATTCTTTTTCAAAATGTAAACATATATGTGCGCATAATCGTAGACATATTCTTTCCATTCATTATTTTTTTCTTTACCTTTCTGTCTTTTTTCGTTTTTTTTCTTTTACCTTATTTATTACTATCGAACCTTCTTCTTGTCAATACAAAAATTGCCTGTTTTCATGCTCTATGGTTGATTATGATATACAAAAAAAAAAAAAAAAATAGAATGACAGTTATATTATTATAAAAACTATCGTTGCCTACCATTATGTGTATCTTTATCGCATTTGAATTGATATAAGAAGCAATACGCAATGAAATAAAACACAACGCTATTCTTCTTTCTTTTTTTTTTGTATCATATGTCATTTTCTTTTTTCTATGAATACAAAGAACGACATGACCAGTTAATCCTTGTTAGAAATTCGTAACAATCAAATGAATTAATCATTCTAATGAGTGGATCATAATCAATAGAACTAATTGTAAATACAATTATTCAATCATTTACTACTCATATATCTATATATCAGAAGATGTAGAATTTCGAGCTCGACAAAACTGTATCCTTGACTTTAACAAAAAACATTTTATTTTTTTTATTTTTCGAAACAACCAATACACTTAGGTATATCTATATCAGTCATATAACTTTGAAGAAAACGAAATTCTGCTGTGTTTTTTGGTGTTCAAATAAGAACTTTACCATTGGACTTGAACTCAAAAAACAATAAGAACAAACTTCATTATTTAAAACTTTTTCAAAAAATTATCATAAATAATATGTTTAATTTCTCACTAAACCTTGTATATCCAAAAGTAAGTTAAAATATGAATGGAATATTTTCTATGAAGTTAAATAAGAAAAAAAATTACATTTACAATTAGTTCGATTCATTATGATTCATTTGTTTATTTTTCTTTTTGTTATAGAAATAAAATATTTCTATTTCATAGGTTTTTTTTATTTCTTTTTCTTTTATTTTTGTTGTCTTCTTCAGTGAAAAAAAAAACAAGAAAAAAAATTGACAGAAAACAACTGTTATACATTTTGAAATGCTGCTCGTTGATAATGATGAAGATTAAATAATTACTTTGTATTGGATACTTCGTCAAAATTTTCAACAAGATCTTTTAATTAAAAAAGAAAAAAAAAATTAAATGAATAAAATAAAATCAATTATATCTTATTATATATATATATATACCGGGTACTTCTTCATCATCAGCATCAGCACCTGTTTGTTCATTTATTGTACCAATTTGTTCATTTCCTGATTGGTGATCAGTACGTGTAGGAAATTTACGTCGACCTGCTTCACTAGCTAAAACACTATCAGTTGACATACCCATTTGTGACATTATTGTTGGTAACATTTCTTGCAAAGCTAATATAAACAATAAATAATATTTAGAAAAATTATTCGCCTTTATTTACATTTTGTATCCGAATGTCCACTAATAGCAAATGTATTTGAACTAAGTGATGCTTGTACTTTAGGATTTGAAAAATGAATAACTTCACCATTATCTTTAAACATATTAACCTATTGAAAATGAAAAATGTTAGGAAAATTTATTTTAATTTCTTAAATATCTAACCTCTTCAATGCCTTGAATATTATTAGCAGCAAGTTTTTTTAATGAACTTTGTAATTTTTTATCATCAGCATTAGCAGGACGATGAATAATTTTCTTTTTACGACGAGCTGTACCCTTAAAACAAAAAAAAACAAATGCAAATAAAAAAAAAAATTTCGAAAAATCATCAACGAACTTTGCCACCAATCTTAATTGCATTTGCCTGTTCAGCAAGTTCTTTCAACTTTTTTTGATTAAGTTGAAAACCTGATGTCACATCAGTTGATGCTGTCGTTGTTGTTGAAGTCTTCTGATCAGAGGACATATTTATTTATCTTCTTTATTTTTTTTTTCTTTCTGAAATATAACCATATATTAAATGGTTGATTATTATTTATCCCAAGATGAATGAGAAAAAAAAAAAAAACAGAATGAAATAATACAGAAAAAAAAAAAGACATGATGAGATATGATGAGAGATGAATTCAAGAAGCAGAAAAACATATTGCAAGAAAAAAAAAAGAGAAAAAAAATCAAATAGACAAAACACTGTTGTCAAATATAGTGTATGATAATAAATCAACTAATAATAAAGTTTTTAATAGCAAAAAGAAAAAAATGGAACCAAAAAAAAAAACAAAATCGCACACGCGCAACAAAGACAAACAAAAAAAAAAGGGAGGAATTTCAAACAAATATAGTGTTTAGATGAAAGCGCGAGGCAGGAATGGAGCAGCAGGAGCAAAACGAAAGAATAAATATTCAAAAAAAAAAAAGAGGAAATTTCTATTATCTGACGCCTGCTGCGTTTTTAAATTTTGTTTTATTTAACATTGAGATAATATCTATGTATATATATATATAGTATGAAAGAAAAAAAAAACACAAAGAATCGCTAAGTTCTTCGAGGTGTAGTAGATGTTATTTGTAAAGCACGTTTAGCTTTACGTTTAAAAAAACAACATGTTGGTTCTGATGGTGGACCAATAATAGATGAATGTTGTTCTTTACTAATATGTATATTGTTAGAATTATTTACATTAGCTGATTGTTGTTGTTGATGTGTATGATTATATGAATAATAAGGTAATGGTGGTGGTGGTGGTATTAAACCACGACGTTTAGTTGGTGGTGGTCCTGGTCGATGATTTTCAATAGCTGTACGTGATGATGTTGATGATGGTAATGTAAGTTGAATTTTATTTGTACTTGCCATTGATAATGTTGTTTTTGAACCTCCATTTAATGTTGCTGTTGTTGGATTTGTTGAACGATTTGTTGAACTTAATGGTAATTGTCGTTGATGATATGTATTACGTTGAACTATTGAACGATTACGAGATTCATTAATAGTATTATTATTATTATTATTACGAGTTGTTGGTGTTTGTACAATTGGTGATGATGGATTTGTTACTGTTGTTGTATTTTTATTTGTATTAACATTATTTAAACCAGTTGATAATGTTGTTGGTACATTAGCTAATGTTATACCAGTTATAGTTGCATTTGTTACTGTTGTTGTTGTTGTTGTTTTACTACGATTTAATCGATGTTCTTGTAAACGTTTAACCCAATCGAAATCACTATCATTAATCAGATTATTTTCACTAAGTGCATTATGAAATAATCGTCGTAATCCATCGTACTAGAATTTTTTATTTCTAGTTTTTTTTGTTTTTTTTTTTTTTTTTTTTTTTTTTTAAAGACAAAAACAAAACAACATACATCAGGTTCTTGAGCAAATTCCATTTGACGTACAGTTCGCATATAGATTAAGAATTGACGAGGATAACCTTCACATAGCATTTCATTCGTTGTAAAGCGTTTTGTATCGCCTATTTTTTGATAACGTTCTTTTAATGTATCTGCTTTTAAACCTTGCCACTAAAAGAAAAATAATAATCAAATAAGATTTTTCAACTAAAATCTATTCGATTTATAGAAAATCATTAGTTTTGAGAAAATTTTTTTAAATTGTATCATTTTCAACTAAAACTTATTTTTGATAACTAAATAAGTATATCCGAGCTCAACTATTATACAAGGCAAAATTCATATAATATAAAACACACAAATTATTATCAAAAATAAAAACTAAAACTCAATCATCATACCGGTAGGCTACCCCGTAGAAAATACATAAACATATAACCTAATGCTTCTAAATCATCTCGACGACTTTGTTCTCGACCTAAATAAAACAAAAATGAAATGATCATGTAAATATAATTTTTTTTTTTTTTTCATAATATAAAACATACCAAGATGTGTATTAATCGACATATATCGAGCTGTACCTAAATATATATATATATATATATAAAACTAATTTCATATTATTTTTCTTTTTTTTTTACCAGTTAAACTTTTATGTTCACGATATGGTATATGTGTTCCATCAGTTGTTCGATATTCTTTTGCTAAACCAAAATCAACAATATGTATAATATGTTGACGATTTGTACTACCACGTCCAATTAAAAAATTCTCTGGTTTAATACTATAAAAATAAATTATTAATAAAAAAAAAAAAAACAATATAAGATTAATAAGTTATTTTTTTTTTGTATCTTTACTCTCGATAAATAAGATTTTTTAAATGAACATATTCAATTCTATCTAATAATTGTAAACCAATCATTAAAACTGTTTTTAATGAAAAACGTCTTGAACATAAATCAAATAAATCTTCTAATGATGGTCCTAATAATTCCATAACAAGTGCATTACATGGACCAGCTTGACCATAAAAATGTACTTGTGGTATACCATCATGTTTACCTAATATTGAATAAAATCTATATTCATGTGCTAATTGTGGTGTACGTGTTGATGTTTGTTCTAATTTAATAGCAACATGTTCATGTGTTTCTGTATTACGACCTAAATGTATTTCACCAAAATTTCCTGAACCTAATATACGACCTATTTGATAATGTAAACCAAGTGTTGTTGTTGTTGTTGTTGTTGTTGTTGTTGAACGTAATAAACGATTCGCTGTTGTTGAACGTGAAAGAACACCCGTACCATTACCAATAGCACTCGGATTCGAATTCATTAGAGATAAGAAATAAAAATAAAAAAACGAAAAAGTTTTTCGACGAATACCAAAAAGAAAAACAAGAATAACGACGATTGAAGGAGAAAAATTTAATAATATAAATTTACTGTATCACTTCTTTTCTTCATTCGATCGATGCCATAGAATCTAAATAAGAAGAAGAAGAAAAAAAACGAACGAATGACTACTTGTTCATCGTGTGATTCTCCTTGTTAAATATTCAAACACACATACACACGCACACGTTCAATATTACATAAAAGAAGAGAGAATACGAATGTTCTCTTCCTCTCATCTATATAGGCTGCCGCGTCCTTTTTTTCTTCTTCGTGTTATTTTTTTTTTGCCTTCGAAATTTTTTTTTTTTTTTTTTTTTTTTTTTTTCTTATTCTGTTGTGGGTCACAGGCGATGTGTACATATATAGTAGTGTTTAATAGATACGGCTTTTTTTTTCTTTGTAAAATATTCTTACCTCGATAATGAATTATGAAAATAATCGATAGAACAAAATTTGGATTAATATATAATAACATTATTTATCGAAGAAAATAATAAAGGACGGAGAAAACAATGGACAATATATATATATATCCACTAATGGACACTTCTAAAATGAGATAAATATTGAAAGAAAAAGAAATAATTGAAAATAAAATTTCATTTTAATAAGAAGAATATACATATACATCTTTTCGTCTTCTTTTTTCCTCCCATAATTAAAACAAAATTTAAATGGCCAATATGAGAATGGAAGAAGACACATCCATACATACATACAGAGAAAATCTCCAAGGATGATTTAATATCGAAAAGGTATATATTGGATGGATATATATATTTTTTTTTTGAACAAATAAATATTTATATATATAGGATAGATATTTTAGAATTAGAAATTCAATATATTTCTTTGAAATTTTAAAACAAAAATTCAAGAAAAGAAATAAGATTTATTTTAGTTCGTTTTCTTTAGAAATTATTAACTGACAGAGGTCACTACTTGATCATTGAACTTCAATATTGAATAATCTTGTAAACTAAATGAAAGTTTGTTTCTTTTTTTCTATCTACGGATTTTAATATTATTATATTTAGTTCTATTTGAGATAACCTTCGAAATAAAAAAAAGAAAAATTTACAAATACTGATTAAGATCGCGCCATTCTCTGTTTTTTCCTTGTTTTTTTTATTATTATTAATAATGAAAGTAGATTAGCAATGCTATTAGTATTTTATTCACTGTGAAACCATGTTCTTATAGAGATTTAGTTTGTTTCCTTGAATTTCATAGTTACTGCATAATAGAATAATGTATTAACATGTCTAAAAATAGTTTTCTGCTCTTCTGACACTTCAAATTGTTCTTCCGAAAGAAAAAACATAGATAAAAATTTCTCTATAAATTTTTAACTAGTTTGAGTTATAGTTTTAGTGTAAATAATCTAATCTTCGTTGTCATTAAAAAAAAAAAAAACTATTTTTATATACATCAACAAAGAAAAAAAATATCATGTCTTTAGATTTAATTAAAATTTATTCACACATTTTATGTCATTGTCAACATTTACATTTTTTATCTTCGAATAGCGGAGCTCAAGTACTATATGTATGTATATGTTTGAAATGAATAATCATTGAATCTGAAATATAAGAAAAGAAACAAACTTCAGTACTACGACAAAAACTACATAAAAAAAGACAAGCTGATATGACTGTTATGATTTTGAGTAAGATGTCAGTAATGCGAAAATCGAATAAGATTTTGTTTGATATTTTTACATGAATCGATAGATCTCGAAGAGCTCTACAAAACTGTCTATATTAAAAATTCTGTGAACCCTTTTCTGGGACAAAAAAAAAATACAAAATAATAGCATGTTTTATTTGTTCTATATGAAAAGTCGAGAATTTTTTTTTATACCAGAAAAGCATCGAAATACGATTTTCTTGTAATTTTTTGTCCCAAAAACATGGGTTCCAAAAAAATGATAATATAGACAGTTTTGTAGAGCTCTTCGAGATCTATCGACTCATGTAAAAATATCAAACAAAACCTTACTCGATTTTCATATTACTTCAACCTTAGTGGAACTTCTAAAACTGATAATAACCATACCATTTTGTCTTTTTTTGGGTAGTTTTTGTCGCAGTACTGACGTTTGTTTTTTTTTCCTGTGTTTTCGATTCAAGGGTTGTTCATTTCAAACATATACATACATATAGTACTTGAGCTCCGCTATCCGAAGACAAAAAGAAAATT